ATCATAAATATTCGACTTAAACATATGTAAGTTATTATACATTACAAAAGAGACAGGCAAGGGAGATCAAAGTTCAAATCTTCAACTGGGATCAATCAGGAGAAGCAAGAACAGAAGACGTGAGACGTGACTAAGTACTCAACTTACTGCAGCATGACCGAGAGTGAATGTAAGCCGTCCTGAGCTGGAGGTGCTGCTCTAGCATCTGGGCTCACAGCTACATAGTCTGATGGTCTCCAGAAGAATGGTTCTGGGAGCAGTGGTCAATGATTCTCTCAAGCTTTGCTTGGGGCCTCGGAGTTTACACCTATGCCAAAGAAAGTTTAGACTAACTTGTATTTAGCCAGGCATAAAGAAAGTATAATAGTAGAAAATGAACTGGGGGGTTGAACTGATATTAAAAATCGTATAATAATTTCTTACAAGCCACATATATTCTTCTCCCTAAAAGAAGGCAAAGGAGGCACTGGAATGCTATGCCCTCCCATCTCTCCTTCACAGAGGAAAGGACAGAAACTGATCTTCCTTTGAGGGCAGAATAAGCACCATCTAATACAGCGGTTCTCAACCTGTGGGTTGCGACCCACAGGAACTGTATTAAAGGGCCACGGCATTAGGAAGATTGAGAACCACTGATCTAATACACCCTCGAGTGCCAGGTAAAGCTGGAGGATAGTAAGGGCCCGTGTAAAGGCAGCACCTTTCTCATCCGGCACCTTGCAAAGTAGTCTACTAGCTGTTGACTTTTGACACATTATCTTTAGCTGTACTAATATAGAAAATGAATATAGAATTAGAATAACATTCTTCATTTATCTAGAGCCAAGAAATGAAGGATAGGGGCCAAAAGAACATTATGAGGCACTCAAATTGAATCAAAAGCTCAGAGCCCGTAGTCAAGACAATAGTAAAGGGTGACTCACAAATCCTGAATTTGTATTTCTCTTATTGTCCAGGTGGGCCTATTTTCCTTTATAATTTTGTACTTAGCTTTGACTTTTAAGTCTTTTCTTGCTTTTGGTCTTCTATGTCAGATGCTAACAAGATAGTAGGAGAGAAATGAGGTGCTCATGCAGCCTGGAGAGTTAAGAGGAACATTACAGGAACGTCGGGCTGAAAGTTGAAGTTAATTCTATAGAGGGAAGGGGGAAGAGATAGGTTAATCAGAAGAAAAATCAAGTGCATGTGGTACCCACCAAATAGTTTATGAGGGGAGCAGTGTGTACGTGGCAGGGGTTGGAGAATGGGGAAAGTAGAGGCAGCACCAGGGCCGGCGCCGGAGCCTTAGCGTGGATAACGACTGTCTTTCTGTTTGTGCCCATTCACTCCATCTCATAAATTTCTCCCTCCTCAACATGACTGCAGTGTAACTCCACTCCCTCATCCCAGTTGATGGATCCAATCATTTTCTCCTGCTCTGAGGTGGACTAGGTTCTTCTGCTAAAGTTCTGAATGGAGATGGAGAAGAAATAAAAAAAAAATCTTTTGATTTTCGGACTATAGTATGCAAAACTCATGTATCATCAAGAGTTCTTTGAAAACAAATGGTTCTACTAAGCAAAGAAGAAGCTTTCAGGTCACTGAGGACATAATAGAAATCACAGGAACATATGAACAAAGTTGGGAAAAGGTAAGGACATGAATCTTTTCGTATGGTGTCAAGACCTTGGGGCCCATGTCCTCAGAGTGCTACAATTGGAGGCTCAGATCTGATTGCCTTACTTTCACATTTGTCTTCCTTTGAGCTACAAATTTCCACCCAGAAAGTGTGATTGACCTGGTTTAAATCACATATCAACCACTTTGGGGTGGGATGAGGAGTGAGGAAGGAGGGGTGAGGGAGAATCCTGATCGCCATCCCAGCGAAACCAGGTAGAATGGGACGGGGCAGGTTGTGCACACACAAGATAGGGTAGGAGAAGCACCAAACCAGAGGGGTTCATTAGGATTTGGGAACTGACAGTGTTCATGTTTCCTATCCTGATAACAAAGAAGTACAGCTAGAAGAAGAGAGGTGGGAGGAGGATAGCGAAAAAGAGAGCACAGGTGAGTAATTGGAAATGCCAGAAATCTCAAAGATGTCAAGTTTGCTACTAAGGAACTACGGTGAATTCCCGGCACACAACTATTTGAAACAAAGAAGGTAAATAACATATCCATTTCTGTTTTAAATAAAACACTATAAATTTATGTTATGTAAAGTTCTCTTGAACAGTTCTGATAACACTGTTAAATCATGTTTCTATATCTCTTCTTCCCCTTTTAACTGTTTCACAATCTCAAATTTAATACCTAAACTGGGTTAATGCCAAAGAATGAACATTGTGTCGTTCTAGAAAGATTTTTTTTCTATTACTACAGAATTAATTGAAAAGGGGACCCATCTTCAATTCTCCTGAAAGGCAGACAATAAATATATGGGGTACATTTACAAGTTCCTCACTGAAGGTCACTAGTAAATTTAAGTGATATCAGTCACTGCCCTGACCTAGAACTTTAAAAAGTTTTGTTTTTATTAGCTTTATTCCAAGTAAAATATTGAGCTCATACAATATTGGTAAAAGATTTACTTTATATTAAGAAAACTATTTTCACCTAATTTGATGTTTTCAGTTTGCTTTTCCCATTCTTCTTCTTTTTTTTTTTTTTTTTGAGATAGAGTCTCTCTCCATTGCCTAGGTTAGAGTACCATGTTATCAGCCTAGCTCAAAGCAACCTCAGACTCCTGGTTCAAGTGATCCTCCTGCCTCAGCCTCTTGAGTAGCTGGGAGTAAAGGTACCTGGCACAATGTCCAGGTAATTTTTCTATTTTTAGAAGAGATGGGTCTTGCTTTTGCTCATGTGGGTCTTGAACTTCTGAGATAAAAGGATCTTCCTGCCTCAGACTCCCAGAGTGCTGGGTTTACAGGCATGGGCCACCACATTTGTCCTATATTAAACCTTTGACCAGCCTTATTACTACCTTTTGGTAAGGATTACAATCCATGAGAGTCTTCATTAATAAAACCAAGCTTAAGCAACTATGGCTTATACATCGTGTATACAGAATATTATGCAGCAGATACAAAGAATGAAGCAGCTCCATCTGTACTGCCACGAAATGATACTGAGTTGAAAAAGCAAGTTGCAGAACATACATTATGTTGTATGATTTGTATTAAAATGAAACAAAGTAAAAATTACGTGTGTGTGTGTGTGTGTGTGTGTGTGTGTGTATATATATATAAATGCATTGAAGAAGATCTAGGAAGTACACATTTGGGGAGGGATTAGATTAGACATAGTGAGAAAAAATGATTTGGGGTAGCATTTGAATTTTAAAGGGAATGTATTTCTTAGCAAAATTAAAAATAAGCTTGAAAAATGTTAAAGGATCATTATCCAAATGGGTTTAAATAACCTGGTCAAAACAATGTGAATCATTACCTTCACCACCACAAATCTTTAACTAATTCAAGCTGACTATAGTTAAAATGCACATGTTCTATCTTCCTAATTTTTAGATAGAAATCAAAGGCCAAGTCCTTCATTTCAATGTTTGGCACCTCTAGCACTGGTTATATGGACGTCTTCTGGGGAGGGGGTCAGTATACCCCAAATCAATACTTGTTTTATTTCTACTTGTTTGTTTATTACTTTGCGTCTTTTTGGATGCCAGAATTTAACATTTTAGTTCTCATTGAGAAAAAAGCAGCTATTTTAAACAAAATATATACAAATTATTAGCAAACGCCCATTAAGCTGCTACTGTGTACTAGGCACTATTCTAAGTGCTGTAAATGTATTAATATAAGTCTTACTTAATAATGTAAAGAACTTAGTGGTGATGTGCTCTATCCTAATGGCACAGTGAAGGGTGTATGGCACACCGCCTGGGCGAGGACACAGGGGGAACTTACCTAACAAGGGAAAACATATAGCCTGATTATTTATGCCCTCATATTAATCTGAAATTTAAAAAAAAATTAAATTTGGGAATACTTTCTAACCCTTGGAATCACCAGGTGAGGTTAACATTCCTACTCAGTTCTGTGGGGTGAGCACTAAGCCTTATTTTTGTTTAAAAACTCCCCATTGGATTCCTATGTAAAATGAGTTCATAATCAGTGATACAGGCATTCTTAATACCTTAATTTTTTTTTCAAGGAAAAAACCCAACTCAGAGAGGTTAAGTAACTCAATAGTTACATGATAGGACCAATCTGGCTCTAAAACTTGAGTTTTTAGAGTATGTCATAGTAAAAGAATCCTTTGGCTTAGACACATCTGGATTCAAAACCTTACTCTGCGCTTAACTGGCATTTAGTCTTAAGCAAATAATTTAACCCCTTTAGGGGGGTTAACCTTTAGGTCTCAGTTTACTCAGCTATAAAATGGGTATAATGGTAACTACCTTGCTGTGCTTTTTATATGGGTGAGAGAAAACATGGGAAGTGCTAAATAATGATGGTTGCCACTGCCAATACTGAGACATTGGTGTTTTTAGCTTGCTCGAGAGAAGGAGAGAGGAAAGCTCTGTCTCTATGAGCTTTTGCTTTCTTCCTAGCGTATAAACATTTAATTAGTACAATACGTTATAATTTCATATGCTGCTTATCCCAACCTGAGACCGTGAAATAGCATTTTTACTTCCTAATATGTAAGCATTACCTGGAAGGCATTATATTCAGAACAGAATGTGGGCAAATCCAGGATTGTAAATGAAAACTGCAGCTCCTCCTGTGGCCAGTGTCTTCTGGAAAGGTTGTTAGATGACACATGTACTACAGTCCCCACTAATGTAATTGGCATTTTCTTGTTTTCACTGATTTCAATCTGACCTTTCATGAAACTGGTCTCTTTTGTTTGCTTTACTTTATTTAGAAGATAATGTGGTCTGAAGGCTCAACCTGGTGCAGCATTTTAGAACGGCAGCTATTCCAAAACCAGTGTCTTGTCTTCCTGACTGTAAAAGGAGATCAAGAAAGGAAACATCTTTGCTCATTAAGAAAAAATTTCATGTGCTTACTTCAGCAGCACATGTACTAAAATTGGAAGGACACAGAGATTAGCATGTCCCCTGTGCAAGGATGACACACAAATTCATAGATTTTTCCATATTTTTGAAAGAAGGGAACGCTTTTATACTGTCAGTGGGATTGCAAGCTTAGTGCAGCCACTTTAGAAAGAAGCATGGAGGGTCCTCAAAGAACTGAAAATAGACCTTCCTTTTGACCCAACTAGGTATCTACCCAGATTAAAAAAAAAAAAAAAGTTATTTTACCATAGGACATTTGTACTAGAATGTTTATCGCAACTCAACTCATAATCACCAAGATGTAGAATTAATCCAAGTGCCCATCAACCCATGAATGGATAAATAAACTGTGGTATATGTATACCATGGGGGACTAGTCAGCCATAAAGGAAGATGGAGACTTTACATCTTTGGTATTTACTCGATGGATTTGGAGAACATTCTCCTAAGTAAAATATCACGAGAATGGAGAAGCAAGCATCCAATGTACTCAACACTCACATGAAACAAACAGATGAACAACTCCACCCCCACAGGAGAGAAAAACACAACTACATCCAAATGGTGGGGAAGAAAGAGAAGTGGGAGGAAAGGGGAGGAGGGCTGGAGCTCCGTGAGCTACACCCTAAAAGACACAGTGTGAGGGGCTGTGGCACGTCTCCCGGGGGAGGGGCTCAACTACATTCTACCTAACAAATGCAAACAGTGTAACCTACTGATGTGTTCCCTTGTATCTGGAAAAAGGAAAAAAGGAAAAATTCCACTCCAGATATGTATGGAACTAGAGATCTATAATATGTGTGCTCCACCACGCGCAGGGAGAGCAAGCCGGGGAGAGCAGGGCGGCTGAGGACACTAATCCCAGGCCTGCTTCGGCTGAAGTGCTAATTCATGGAGTGGATGGCGTGTTTTTATCTACAGTGTCATTTTTCCTTTTAGTAAAGTGTAGGAAAGAGTGCGTGGTGAAAATGATGTCACTGGCTTCGCAGGCTGCGTGAAACCTTAAGTACACATATGGGTCTTCCCGGATCACGTCTCTGCAGCTGTTAGGAACACAGACATTGCCCTTTACGTGGTCAATGAGGGTTGAAAAAAAATAGCCATCAGTTATCTTAAATATAGGAAATTAAAGTTTATTATCTCAATTCAAGATGCCTCTGTCAATGATTCTAAATCGCAATTTAGAAGCCTAGAAAAACCGATTCCTTTACATCATTTTATATACTTAGCATTTTATTATCGATTCTCATTACAAAGAAAATATCTTAAAAGTTTTCATCCAATTAGTAAATTTATGCTTTGTAAAATACAGTTGTACAAAGTGTAATTGATATTTATACTTCATTGCTAAAGGCATTATATTAATAAATACACAAAATTAGTGTTTTTAGGGTTTTCATTTGTTAAAGCAAAATTACACATTATTTAAAAACTTTCAACGTAAGGCCTTCATCTCATCGTTTTTCTTTTTCTCCTACTACAACTCAAATGACCTCAAGGACTTGACCCAGCTTTGTAAAATAATGTTTTGCTGACACAGAAAACAATAATTCAAACATAGATTACATTTCACTTTCTAATTGTAAGGGGCTTTTTTAAAAAATAGAAATTTGTTTGGAAAGTAATAGTTTGGTGTTTACTAAACCTCAAACTTTCAGAAGGAATCTTTGATCTCTTATTCACACTCATAAATCTCTCAGCAACAAACCATATTTTAGTAACAACAACAAAAAAAAAAAGAAAGAAAGAAAAGAAAAGCAGGATCACAATTCTATACTGCTTAAAGAATGTTCTCTATTCTAGACCTTTTAAAAGAACATTTTATCAAAAACTCCACAATATCCTCATGCTAATTCCTAATGCTTTAATTTTCAGGATAAGCAGAAATGGAAAATAAAACAAAAAATAAATTTAAAAAAGAAAAAAAAGATTTGTAAGAGGGTTGTCTGGCAGTTTCATTTGAAAATTCAATTCATGCTTGAAAATAATTTTCTGTTCTTCTTTGTGATTTTTATCGAGACGGCATGAAAGACTATTTTTTTTTTTTCATTTCTTCTTCGTCTTGAATCTGGATTTCCCTTTGCAAATTGATTAAATAGGTTTGAAGACTATCATAATATTTTTGATAATCTTAGAGAAAAACAAAACCAAAAGTCCTGTACACTGTTATATAAATAACAAGCAAAGTGACTGATATTACTTTCCTTTCTTGCCCTATTGTCCTCTGGGCAGCTCTGCCCCATTTCTCTCCAGTGGAGAGAGTCCTGACTGGCATAGCCCCTGCACTCCCATTATCACTGTCTAGGGAAACGCTGGCCTGGTGTCTCCAACCTGTCCATCTGTCCATCCGTCCATGGTGCGCATACAGCACTCCTGCGAGAACACCAGAGTCCAGGGATTATTTTTAATGTTTGTGTATTTTAGTCATTACTTTTTAGTCAAATAAATATAGAAAATCAAATTATGATTTTGGAAAGAAATAGGAAGTATTCTTAAAAAGCCCTTTCGTTCTTTTTTTTAAACTACGTGGTTAGCCTCATGAGCGCCAATAACACCCAACTATGTACTTGTTTCAGATTTGGGAATTTCTCTTTTGATAATTTTTTTTTTTTTTGCTTTTTTTTTTTTTTTTTTTTTGGCCAGGGCTAGTTTGAACCCACCACCTCTGGCAAATGGGGCCAGCACCTTACCCCTTTGAGCCACAGGCACTGCCCTTCTTTTGATAATTTTTGAGAAATTTATAGCTATTCGTTAAGTCTTTTTTCAACCTTTCATGGTTAAAAACAAAATGAAAGTTAATTTTTCAGCTAATAAATTGAAATCAGTTGGAGTCAACAATTTTCTTCCCTGCAAAACATTATTCTTCGAAATATTTCATGTCTGTGTTTTAGTGAAATACATCTCTGTGTATTGTGAACGAATGTTAGATTAACATAGCAATTTAACATTGCATTCTAGGGTTAGCTCCAAGTATAGGAATTCAAATATAAAACCCAGATAATAATAACAAGGGCACATATTTTAAAAGTGGTATTGTTCTAGTTCAGCATTTCAAAAATAGTGTTTCGTGGATTATATCTTATCAGTCATGTTAGTGTCAGTATGTGTATTACAGAAAAAAAAATCACTTGATAGATAAGTTTCCCAGGCTAGTGTATATTTGGCCCTAATTTTAAAAAAAGAACAAAATATGAGAGGCAGGACCTACGTTTTGCATAAACATACATGGGACAAATGAAACAGATCTGTGAGGAAGCAAATTGTTTGCACGTGTGGCTTTATCTCTGTAGCCAAAGTGACTTACTCAGTCAAACATGTGAGCTGAACCTGGCTTCTGCTGGAGAAATTACCCCACCCTGCGCCACGCTGCTCACGCAACCTCCCATCTCTGTGGGGACGATCTAACTCTGCGCACTTGTGCATGGCAGGTACCCTGCTGGGCTCTATTCTAGTCACTGCCGGTAATGCCAAGACAAGAGATACCTTGAGGCTCGCCGGGCAGCAGGCCCAATAGTCACAAAATGAAATAGAGTAAATCATAACTTACGAAGTTCATAGAGATTCAAATACCACAGAGATTCTGCACCAGTTTAAGGGTGAGAGGGGATGATAGAAGAGTTTCTCGAAGGAGCTTTCAAGAATACAGAGGATCTGAAGTGGTAGAGCTGGTGGGAGAGAAGCACAGAGAGAGCTGGTGGGAGAGAAGCACAGAGGCCAAGAAACCCAGGAAGAGGAGGTGGGAGGAAGACCTAAGTGGTAGGCTGGAGAGAAGGAGTACTTACACTCTCATTTCTCCAGCAAGATTTGAGCCGATTAAACCATGAGCAGTATTCCTTTGCCTGGGTAAGAGCTACTCATTAGCAATTAAAAAAGAAAATCTCTTTCATATGACTGCATACAGCTCCTTAACTCAGTTTAATGGAGCATTCCATGTCAATATAATTTGGTGACATTACTTAGAACTGATTTTATTGCTTTATGTATATTTAAAGCTGAACATTTTCCTCTCCCGTGTATGCAATCATTTAAAGGGTAAACTAATTGGGAAAACGATATCTCAACGGGCCATTTTGTTCCATGCATGAAGTGACTATAAGTGGTATCTGTGCACTACCAAATACCTTGTTTATTTGGAGTGATAAATTTCTGAAAATGTTGTAGGCCCCCAATTCCAATTGCCTCATCATCATTTTCATTTTTCTAATAACATTTTTAACGTTATCTAGGAATTAAAACTAATCCCTAAATACTTAATAATACCTCAAAGGAACAGTATTTCACGTGTGTGATTCCTCCAGTCTGAAAGGTATTAGAAATATTGATCTGAACTTATGTCTATTTTGTTTCTTCAAAAGGAAGGAATTTTGTCAAATATTTGTAATTTAATCTTTTCTACAAGTTCATAGAGTATTATTATTCTCATCACCAAAGTAAAATAATTTATCCCAAAGCTAGTAAATGGCATGGCCATTATTCAAATACAGGCTTGTTAGATTCCAAACCACATTTTCTATTATGTTACAATGTCTCCCTGAAAGAAAAGAAAGTATAAGACCCTTCATGTCAAATTGTAGTGTTTAGATATAACGAGGTGAAGTGATTTCTTAGGGTTTGTTCCTTTCAGGTTGGGCATAACAGGGACATTTTCAGGCCTTAAACAGGCATCGCCTAATTTACAAACAAAACAAAGCAGTTTATGAACACTCACTCGTATCATTTCTATCCTGAAATGGCTAAGGCACAAAATATTTCACATCAATAGGAACAAACACTCATCAGCACTTGAGATTAGAACACTCAACATTTCACAAATCTGAAATACATCTTGCCAAGAAATTTTTCCCATCATTTAAAAACCCTGTCTTGTTTACACAAGAAAATAGAGAAATTTAATCCAAATATTTCTGATTCATTTACATTCAGACTCATAATCTTTTTTTTTAAATAAGGACAGTTATAAATAAAAGTGTTTTCAAGAACTGAATCAATCAAAGGATTGGTTTTTTTCACAAATACAATATTTAACAGAGTGAAGTATTCGATGTGAAAGCATTGAGAGTTGATTTCAAACCCAGAAACTGTAGATA